GGATGGATTTGTGATAAAAATTTTAAAATCATCGATATTATTTGAGGGGCGTGATAGTTTTGGATTCTAAGACATTTGTCCTTGTCAATGCCTACATCAGTGGCCTTTGCCCTCCATGATTATTTTGGTCGATCATCTCCAAGTCATCAACTACATACATAGTGATCTTCCAAGATACAAATTAATACATTATGGTTGAATTCTTGATAACCAGAAAAAAGAAGATAAAAAAGATAAAACCAACATAAGAGGAGTGACCCTCTCGGTCGACTCATATTGATTAGCCACACAATGAAAAACAACAAGGAAACCGAGTCCATTCTCACATAGAATTTACTCTCTTAAATGCATTCCATATAGAAATATTCTTACAAATAAAATAGGAAGAACTCTTATGGGTGCCTCGACCATCAAGGACATTATCATTAAGAAGAAATAAGTCTAAATATTATAGATTCCATCGTGATCAGCATCATGACACTAAGAACTGTTGTGACCTAAAGCAACAAATCGAAAAAGTCAATTAGAGAGGATACTTGGGATGTTATCTCTCTAAAGTTTAAGGTAGCCTATAGACCACAAAGCCCCATTAAACATTTGGTAGACGTAATCATTAGTGGGACAGGATTACGAGGATATAGCAACATAGCTCACAGAACATAAGCAAGGGAGTCTCAAGCTAAGAGAAAGGCTGAATAGGGACCCAACCATTGTGTTCAAGGAGGAAGAGGCTGGGCATCTTGATCCTAGACATGACGAAACCTAGGTTATATCACTATAGATCATCAACACATCAATTAAGAGGATCCTAATTGACATGGGGTGCTATGTTAATAACCTCTATTATAATGCATTCTAGAAGATAAGATTAAAAAAAAAAATTGTAACCAATCTCCTCCATGCGAATCGGCTTCACTAGAGACTCAATCACATCCTTAAGGACAATCAACCTTTGGGTCGAGAGCTTGTTTAAGGATGATTCAAATCAAGTTTCTGGTCATGGACATCCCATTGGCCTATAATATAATCATCGTACATCCAACCCTCAACTGACTCCGAATAGTTATTTTCACTTATTACATGATATTGAAATTCCTGACAAACTTCAAAGTTGAAGAATTTAGAAGTAATCTTCGAGAGTCCAGATAATGTTATCTGACCTCGATCACCCTCCCGAGGAAGACGACATTGTTGGTCCAACAAATGGATCCTAGAGATTCAACATCTCAATCGGCTCATCCAAAAGCAAGAGAATCCCTCGTTAAAGTATTGTTGGATCGAAACAAGCCAGACTAAACTAACAAGATCGACTCAACACTACTTGAATAGAAAAAAAAAAGAGATAGTCTACTTCCTACACCTTAACTCTTAGATCTTTGCTTGGTCATTAAGTGACATCCTAGACATCAAACATTTTGTGGCATAGCATTAGCTCAATATTGATCTTAACTATTGACTATTTGGGAAAAACCTTGATCATTTGCTCTTGATCGTCGGTCAACAGTTGGAGAAGAAGTAGATAAATTGTTGGACATTGACTTTATCTATGAGATCCATTATCTTGAATAACTTGCTAATATAATTCTTATAAAAAAGAATGATATATAATGAAGAATATACGTTGATTATATTGATTTTAATAAAGTTTGTCCTAAAGATAACTTTCCTTTGCCTCGGATCCCCGTATCAACCAACTGGTTGACTATACTTTCAATCGTGAACTCTTAACTTTTATGGATGTCTTCTTACATTATAACTAAATTAAAATGACTTTAGATTAAAGTAAACATTGTTATAAAATTATGTCATTGGAGCTCAAAAATATTGAAATCATGAATATTTTCTCTCTTAACATAAATTAATTACTATAAATGATGTATTGCTTTATTATTAATTTCTATATCTGTGTACTATAATTAAGAAAATAATTAAATTTAATTTCTTAATCACATGAGAATTCTACTAATCAATTAAATTATTAATTAATTTATTTTCTAACGAGTGATTTGATATTTAGGAAGTAAATAGTTAAATTTCATTTTTGTGTGTGAACTATAAGAAATGAATATTATATTACTTTTTTTGTGTGTGAAAGTAAAAGAAAAAATAAATTAAAAATAAAAATTAAATTATTACTTACTTTTCGGGGAGATCTCATCTTCTCCTATATAAAGGGACTACTTCTCCCTCATTCTCCACCAAGCCTAACAATAGGAGGATTGAGGAGCGGACTTTAAGATGATATCGAGGAAGAGATAGTGGAAGAGAGGCAGAATCCTTTCTTTTTTAAACTAGCTTTGATTTATATTTTGAAATCTTGATGTTGAGATTGTTATAATTTTTGATATATAATGATGTTTTAATTTTGAAATTTATGATTAGTAAACAATGATAATTATTTTATGATATTAGAATGATTATTTGATTTATATTTATCTCTTAAGCTTGAGTGAATTTTAATATTGATTTAATTCTTATTTTTGGATTAGCATAATAGTTCTAATTTATTTAATTAGATATATCTATGTTCCAAGAATTATATGTAAATTTTTAAAATTAATTATTTTTAAATTTAAGATCATGAATTTAAAGTTTTTATTAATGGATTTGAGTCGTTCTTTAATAATTTTAAATATTAAAATCTAATTTGATAAGAGGAGTCTAATTGGGATCTGACTTAAGTCAAGTTGATCTATCAGACTAGATCGACTCAGCCCATATGGTCATGTACGACCTAGCTTATGTGACCAAGTATAACCTAACCCATGTGACTCGGCATGACTCAACTTATGTGGCCGGATAGGAGCCAACCCATATGGCAAGGTATGACCCAACTCATGTGGTCAGGCTTGACCCAATCCATGTGGCTAGATATGATCTAGTCCATGTGGTCATATATGACCCAGCACATGTGGTAAGGTACGACCCAACCATGTGGTTAGGCATGAGCCAACTCATATGACTATGTACGATCCATTCCATGTGGTCATATATGACCCAACTCATATGGTAAGGTACAACCCAACCATGTGACCAAGCATGGGCTAGCTCATGCGGCTAGGTACAACTCAGTCCATGTGGTTAGATACGACCCCAACTCATATGTCTAGGACCAACTTGCGAGCTAAGCATGACCTAGTTCAATGGTAAGGCTCAGCCCAACTTATAAGTGAGGCTTAGCCTAGTCCATAAGTTAAGCCTGCCCAGCTACGCGATTTACATTAGATATGTCGTCGCTCCTTTTATATAGCCCGTCGTACCTCAACTTAACCTAGTACTTGGAACATGTATATGTAGTGTATGTGACACGTTCAAGACTCAGGTGGGTTGGTTCGGTTTGGGTTAGCACTATACGACATAGTCCAATTTCCTCCCTCTCTATTGGTTTAAGCTTATTAATTGACTAAATCAAACAGGTTTGATCAGTTAAAGCCGGTTTAGGGTGATTCCAAACTAACTCAACTAGTTCAAACCTATTCGACATAATCAAGATCAATCAAATCTAAATTAGACCAGTCTAGGGTGATTCCAAACTAGTTCTATAAGGATTTGAGGTTGGTTCCGTTTGATCAGAATTGAGTTTGGTTTAAGTCAATTAAGCTATTCCAATTAGGGTTTTGATTGATTGAGGACTATTGAGAGATTGATGTTTCATGCATTTATGATTTGATGAATTTAAATGTTTTATCTAAAGATGTCATTTGAAAATGATTATTGATTTTCTATTTTCTTATGTTTATGATATTGATATGATTAATATCATGTAGTAGATGTGATTAGACTAGTAGTTTACATTGGGAGTGCAGCTTGTGAAAGGAGCTACGGGCCCATCACAGTACGGAGCCACCAATGAACACAGTCTAGTAGATTTACATCAAGTATGGTCTCTCATAATATTTAATCATATTGATTTCTCAATGTATGCGTGAGTGAATGAATGAGTGTAAATGAATGATGTTTATGTATCCCTATCGACGGTAGGTATGGTGATTCCCTTCGGGGATTAGCGGGCCGTTAGACGTGATGGTTATACGGTTTTTGTATCCACTGTTGGGAGGAACGTGTCCTCACTTGGGTGGGTGAGGGATACCACTATATCCATTGTTGGGAGTACGATATAGATTATCTCCATCTGCTGTTAGGAGGAATACATCCCGTGAAATATGTCTCTTCATCGGCTGTTGAGAGAGTGCACCATCGGGTCGAGTGTGATGTACGCCTTTATTATATAGTTATTATGAATGTGTTACAAGTGGCTAATGCATGATTTTGTTTATTATGTAAGAAAATTATCATTTGATGCATAAGTTTTACGATAAATAGATATATATTTTTTATTAAATTATTGATATTTATTTATATTTCATGAATATTGAATATTATTTTTATGTTCTTTCTGAGGTTCCTATCAGCATGTGTGGTTGCTGATATGTTTTTATCCTATATTTATTTTCGGAGTAATCTACTAATATTTAGTAGATCTGAAGTTTGGATGGAAGAGACTTGCGACCTTATCAAGAAGATGTGATTATTTTTCTAGTAAATAGAATATTTACTACTATAAATACATGAATTTGAATTCAAATATGAATGAAAAAAAAAATTATTATATAAATTATGAATAATAAAATATTTATAAAAACTGAGATGTGAACGACATGCTTGTGAAAAGTCACACGTTCAACACCCATTTGGCCGACTTGAAGGAAACTTTCGCCACAATTAAGAAACATCAAATGTATTTGAACCCATCTAAGTGTGCCTTCAACGTTGGCTCAAGAAAATTTCTCTAATTTATTATTTATCAAGAGTGAATCGATATCAATATTAAGGTTATTTTATACATGATGCCTCCGGAAGTTTAATAGCTGACTAGTCAAGTAATCATATTAAGTTATTTCCTTTCTAACACTAGCGACAGATGTCTACCTTTCTTCGAAACCCTAAAGGTTAAAGAGTTCTAACAGATGAGGCCATGTCAAACGACATTAGAGTAACTAAGTACCTTAATTCATCACCATAGTTTTCAAGCCCTCAACCACAAGAGGAGTTGTACATTTACCCATTGGTAACTCCAACCATGAGTTGAGCATTGATATGAGAGGAAAACAAAATGCAAAGTCTGTGTGCTACACTAGTCATGTGATAAAGGCTGCTGAGCAATATCAAACAATGTTTGAGCAACTAAATTAGTACCTCAGTTTACCACCATAGCTTTCAAGCCCTCGACCACAAGAGGAGTTGTGCCTTTACCTCGAAGAGGAAAACAACGTACAAAGATCTTTCTGCTACACCAATCATGTGTTATACGATGTTGAGCAATGATATCTAACTTCAAAAAGTTGATATATACTTTTAGTCTTGATAGCCTAGAAGCTCCGCCTCTACTATTAAGCACACCTCATCGTTAAGTTGGAGATAATAGAAGGTTTGTGTTGGGGCTTGAGTTTTCATATATGAGGCCCACAAGAGAGATTAGGGTGACTAGCAATTGCATTACCTTGTACATATTCGATTTGGACCATATATGTATGTATATATATATATATATATATGTATATGTATATATATATATATGTATATGTATATATATATATGTATATGTATATATATATATGTATATGTATATATATATATATATGTATATATATATATATGTATGTATATATATATATATATGTATATATATATATATATATATATGTATATATATATATATATGTATATATATATGTATATATATGTATATATGTATATGTATATACATATATATGTATGTATATATATATGTATGTATGTATATATATATGTATG